ATAGAAATAAATGCTCAGCTTTCAACTTAATTTATAATAAATGTTACATTAATGACCATTATGTTTCACAATGCAGGATAATTAAAACATAAGGAGTTTAGAGCTTACTGCTATGGAAAATCATAATGAAACTAATATAAATCAATATTTTATTGATAATATAAACAGTGAATTAAACAAACATAAATGGAAGGCAACATTACTCTTGGAAAGTAGGTTAAAACATAATTTTAATCTTGATACAGGATCAATGGCAAATATAATTATTGTCAGAGCCATTATAGATAATTCGTGGTGCAGACCCCTTTTTATCTAATAATTAACATCCGTCTGAAACTTCGTAAATAGTTTCACCGTTTGGCGTGACCTTCACCCCCAAATTTTCAAAATAACGAGGTTGTTTAGGACAAACGGCCCAATATTTTTGTAGCCAGATTTTTAAATGATTTTATGGTCAAATTGTCATATGATCCAAGTAGAAAGCAAATGGATATTTACTTAAATGGATATTTAAATTTGATTGGGGCGTTTTCAATCTGGAGGGGAACAAACTTTGTTCATTTAATTAGGTAATAAAAACTCGTAAATATCCATTTGCTTTTTACTTGGATCATATGACAATTTGATCATAAAATCATTTAAAAATGTGGCTACAAAAATATTGGGCCGTTTGTCCTATATAACCTCGTTATTTTGAAAATTTGGGGGTGTAGGTCACGCCAAACGGCTTAATATTTTTGAAGGCCACCTTTTTTCTCGATTTTTTTATCAAGTAGGAAGCAAATGTGTATTTACGAGTTTTTATTACCTAATTAAATAAACAAAGTTTGCTCCCCTCCAGATTGAAAACGCCCCAATTCCAATGGTTTTCATAAATAAAACCACGGAATAAGAGTTAGGCATTCATAGAAAGTATTTAAACAAACCGAAACAAATGCTGACAACTTACAAAGGATAAAATATTAGAACATTAAGCAAAATATGTTGAATTTTCAATATAAAAATCTTATTATTTACCTTTAACTCTCCATTATTGAAAACAATTCTCCATGAATTCTCGGTTTTGAAGGTTGCAAATGGATATTTTAAGAAAAATAAATACCATTAATTGTAGATCCTTAAAGAAATTTTAAATGATCAGAGACTTTAATAAAATTCATCATATAACAATTGATAAAAATATTAATCCATGTGTAGATCCTCCTAGGATTTCCACTTCAAAAAATTTTTAAAAACACACTAAATCGAATGGGAAGGGATACAAATATTTAAAAGTTTGAAGAGCCAGCTGATTGGGTCAACTAAATTGTTATTGTGAGGAAACCAAATAACACTTGCCAGGATCCATCAGACTTAAATAGAGCAATAAAAAGAGAACATTTCAAGATTCCAACTTTAGAAGAAATTTACTCATCACTATTGATTTTGAACGGTTCCTTGGACGAAATCCAGTTTATATTTGTTTACATTTAACGCAGGTCCACATGGAAGATTTTTAAGATTACCTTATGAAATTAAGTCTCCCATAAAATATTTGATCTATAGAGAGTCAGTACATAGATGACTTTATAATATATGCTAAATCAATTGAACAAATTTTAAAAATTGTACTAGAAATAGCAGTAATCAATAACATAAAATTCAAAAAATGTAATTGTAAAATAACTTATCAAGAAATTACATTTTCGGGACACACATTTTCAGCAGAAGGAACACAGATTGATGAAGATGAATTCAGAGTATAATGAAATATCCTACTCCATCTAATAGAAAATATCTAAAATAATGTCTAGGAATAATAAATAGTGTATCATACATTCGAATCCGTAGATGTATCCGTAGATGTATCATAATCATAAATACCATCGAAACCCCAATCCTTATATTTATTATAATCGTAATATTCAGCATTTAAATCTTCAGCTCTAGTTTTTGTTCTCATCATTCGAGGTGGCTTCTTAAGTTTTCGAAATTCATATCCTTCCTTCGAAGGTTTGAATTGAACATTCTTGGAAAGTTGAGTTTTGGAGAGTTCTTCATCCTCCTTCCTATTCCCCCCGTGAGATCGGAATCCACTCTTCATGAGAGCGGGGAGAGTTCTTTGTGGCCCAAATAGATGTTTATTCGCCCAGTCGTTGAAATCACCATTTTTGGGGAAAATATCGGTAGGAAGTTCTCGACCTCCTAATCTCTTATCCCAGGATTGACATTGGCAGGCGTGGTAGAGACAGAAGAAGAACACGACGGATATGGAAGAGTGCATCTTGACTGAAGATTATTCGTGCTGCAGAAGTTGACATTGAAAAAAGGCATTAATTCGTTTACGACTTGGGACAATAAGAATTATCAACTTTAATGGCCCGTGAAACGCCTCAAATAAAGATAAAAGTCAACTTTCTCGAATATTATTTATGTACAAATGCAAATACAAATTTATATAAAATATTCCAATATACAATAACTCGTGAAGAAGATAGAAAGGTGCATTGTGAGGATCTTTATTATATTATTACATTTAATTATTAATATATTCAGGTTTTAAAAGATTTATTCACAGTACAGTAAGTTGAGGGGAATATTTCATATGAGCGATAGTTGACGTGAAGGCCTATAAAAATGTTCATATAAACAATGGGCCAATTTTTAACATAAAAGTAATTAATCCAAGTATTTTACTTTCACTTACTTATATATAGTAAGGGTAAGTATTGCTATCTTAAAAATTTTTTAATCTGAGTTTTCAACAAAAACACACGTTTTAAGGTAGGTGTTTGTCCTTGTCCGTGTGTATGTATATATATATTAGCAGTCTAGCTCAAAAAATAAAGGTCGTACGAAACTGATATTACGTATTTAAGATATGTATATGCCTTAGATGTGACAGAAACTTTTTCCTAAAAATCGGCTAACTTTATATCAACGCTGAAACACATTTTTATAATTTTCTTAAAAACGGCTCGAACAATTTTGATTAATCTCGGTGTATCATTGTATAATTAAGTGGTTTTAATATCATTTAAGTCTTATCCCCGCTGATGTCACTTTCCAGGGCTTAAATGCCCAATGTTCATATACGTTTGTTTGTTTGTTTGCTTGTTTGTTTGTTTAGGCTTTAAGGCGTAAAACCCTGGGGCCATCAACGCTTGTGAGTCTATTATATTTGTAAACTCTTTAGAGGAGAGTTAATAATTAACAATAGATATTGTTAACGCCGCATACGTTCAGATCTTATTTTTTTTCTCTCACCATATTGACCCTTTTAAATGTTAATGAAGAAAATGTTTATTTATTTTTTTTGTAAAAACTGTGGGACAATTGTCTCAGAAATATATTTATGTTTATATTATTTTGTATATCTGCCTTCGTTTGCGATGTATTATCGCTTATTTATATGCACCAGCCCGGCAGTATTACCCGGTCTTAGGGATTAAGACATCAAAATACGGCCGAAGGCGAGTCTAGAGCTGTCTTTCGTTCAGAGTGGAAGTCTACCCCTACCAATCTCACCAAGCTCCAGGCCGTCTCATCTCGCAACATCTCACCTAGCGCCATTTTCGAGGATCAGCTGTTGGGCGCAGCTGAGTAATCGATACATATCGATACGACCCCACCATCGATTATTCGACAGCTGGAGATCGGAAGGTAACAGGTTGGAGGCAGAATCTCCAACTTGGCTTGTTGTGTTTTTTATTCTCACCAAGACATTTGAACATTTAGTTAACTGTTTTCTTCCCTAAATTTGTTTTATTCTTATGGACAATTCTCTTGTTTTATTTACAATTTTAGAAATTGATTTTTTTCTTTATTGATAATGGTTAATTTCTTTTATTTTCTCTGGATGTTGTATTTGTGTTTTATTTTTCTCGTAGCTTTTAAGTATTGTTTATCTCAACTTTTATATAAATTTATATCTCTTTTCTTTCTCAATAAATTGTAAACATTCAAAAGGGGATTTTTTTTATTTTCAATTTTTTTATTTATTGAAATATCTCTATTTTTTTAAATATTTTCTTGTGCATGTATTTGATTTTTTCTCTAATGTTTTATATGTCTTATTATTCACTAATTTTTTTTTCTCCTTCTTTCCCAACGTTTTTTAATTTTTCTCGAATTTTCCCACCATTGAGGAAACGCACCGGAGAAAGATCTGTACTTCGATTTTGAAGTACCCCTGACCCCAACAGATATAGTAATAAATAAAAAGAAATTTAGAAACATGGTCTATGTATTTTAAGAAATTTTATCACTGTTTTTATATTTGATTCGTTGTTGCTTAATACCGCTGATAAATCCAGTTTTAGAGACAATCGATTTAGGCTTGAAGTATAATAACTGCATTCTAGGAAAATATGGTTGACTGTGAGAAGGCCATTGCAATTCTGACCATTTGGTGGTGGCTGCTTAGTGATGAGATGTACATGAGTTAGGTTCGTGTGTCCTATTCTTAATCTGGTCACGGCGACTTCCTCTCTACGATTAGGGCGGTTTGATGTGATTTTACTAATTTTTTAATAACTTTTAATTTGCTAGGCGGGCTTTCGTTCCACATGGATTGCCAACTATCCAATATTTCCTTTTTGAGAGGAAAACTCATTTCTGGAGGTGTCAGGATAGGAGTACCTCGGTGTGGAAGCGCGAATGCCTGTTTGGCTGACGCGCAAGCTCATTACCAACTATACCCACGTGACTGGGAACCCATATAAAACAAATCGATTTTCCTAAATTTTCCAGAGTGTATTTGTGTATATTTGTGTATTTTATGGATAACTGGATGTTTTGAGTACATATCATTTAAACCCTTTAATGAACTCAAGGAGTCGGTTATCAAGACTATCGAGGCTGGAGTTATCGACATACAGAAGTGGAGGGCTGAGGCTATTTCGTGAAGTTCCGCTGTATTTATGCTCCTTAGAGACTTAAAAACATTTATTGGATTATAAATAAATGATTCAGTCTTAGATTGAACAAGATTTATTTAAATATATATTTATTTATCTCATGTTGCCAACTCATGTATCATTATTCCTTTGATTCAGAGTAATTTTCTTTCTTTTCATACTTCTTTTGTCTTTTCGTCTAATACATGACGGAATACGTTGATCGCTAAAACGCAGAATGGTAACAAAGGCTTGTTGAATTGAAGGTCTGCAATGAATAAATATGCTTAGTTTAGACTGTATAGTTATATATGTGAGTGTATATATAATAATAATAATAATAATAAATATAAAAGAGAAAATCTCTATTTTGCATTAGGAGAAAGGATCTTACAGGTATGTAATTAAATTACAGTTGTATTATTTGTAAAATAATCGCTATAGGGGAGAAGCAGTATTAGAGGACTGGGCTGAAAAGTTGAGCTACTGTAATACTCTTACTCTCCTGATACTAACATTAAATAAAATATGATAGCCACTAACAATGTTTTTATAATATATAGATAAGAAAGTATCTAGGTTATGGCTTCTATACTCTCAGCAATATAGTTCGGCATACTTAGTAAAAGAAAGAACTACCAAAGGAAGATCTTCCGCACCGAAAAAATTGTATGTGTGTGTGTTTGTGTAAGTGTGTTTTTGTTTGTGTGTGTGTGTGTTTGTGTAAGTGTGTTTTTGTTTGTGTGTGTGAATAGACTAGCGGACTTAAGTGTCTCATAGCATAGCTCAAAAACTAAAAGTCGTACAAAACTGAAATAGCGCATTTGAGGTTGCTTTAATTCTGCAATGTTACAGTAACATTTTCGTTAAAATTGGCTAACCAGAAGTGCAACTTTATAAAATCGATTTTAGACATTTTTAAGATTTTCTCGAAATCGGCTCTTTGATTGCATTCATAAAATCAGGCTAGATTTAAGCAGTTTTTAATATAATCTAGGTTTTGTTTTCATTAATGTTCTCTAACAGGGTTCAAATGGCAAATTTTCATTCACATTGAAATCTGATATATAAAAAAAAGTTAAATGTATAATATGAACGAATTTTTTATTTTATCTTTTTTATTGTAGCCTTAAGATTTTACGCAGTCTTATTTGGCAAATACGAAAGGATTTGATAAATAACTAGAGTAGAAATAAGAGATCGTATTGGAGAATAGTTGTAATTGAGGGAATAAAAAAATACGTAGCTTTATTATTATAGCTTTTTTTTTTTTATTTCTTATTGACATTTACAACTGTATTACATAAATAGATCAAGTAAATTTGGACATAATAGGTATAATGACATGAATACACTTGCTGAATAACTACCCAATGGTAGCACTCTAATGATATGACTACATTAGGAGATCACGTGGCCATCTTCTTTTCAGACGCCTCGGAGGGTTATCAGGAATTGAAGAGGAAGCAAGGTTAGAAACGAGAGGGTTGGGATGATTCTGAAGTTTATTATGGAAGGATAGGTATATGGATTGGGACATTAAGATCTTTATGGATAATTTTATTAGTGACAAAGTAAGGAGCATTGAGGATTTTACGAAGGATTTTGGATTGTAAGGATTGGATGCGAGAGGAATTCGATGGTTTAGTGGAGCCCCATAGCTCAACTCCGTAATTCCAAATAGGTCTTATTATAGTCAAGTATATGAGTCTTTTGTAATAAATGGGAAGTTTAGAGCGTTTGTCTAGTAAGTGCTGAAGTAATCGGAAACGTCGAGCGGTTTCTTGTCGTTTCAGTCAAGTATGAGGATTCCAAGTGTCCAGGTGGAGTCCTGGGTATCGGATTCGCTCAACAGGGATAAGTGGAGCATTGTTAAAGGAAACTGTAGGACAGGAAGTCGTTGGTTTACGACGAAGGGTAAAGGTAATTTGGTGGGATTTATTGGAGACTTGTAAGCTTAGAACAGTCTTCCAGACAAAACGTGAGCTTAATATAATCCAGACTCAGATAATATTGTATGTATATATACATATGTGGGTTTAATAAATGCTATCACTGGTATTATTTAATATGCAATTGTATAGATAACAGCGATATAAAAATTATTATTATTTATATATACCAGTATTTAAACAAATAAATATATTCACAATGAAACATAAATAAATATACCGGCCTTCTCTATCATTGGCACTCTTGTCAGACTATAAATATTTCGTGATACTTAATTATTTATTATAATCAAATATATAATTCAAATATACAGGCGTAAATGGAGAGATGGCTATTGTCAAGCTAAATAAATTTATTATATTACACGGCTATGAAAACATATCGACAGCCACATTGCAAATGCCTCTAAAGATAATTTCTCTGGAAAATTATTATTATAATTAATTATTAAAAATTCCTGGCTCATATTCTGATCTCACAAAATGAACTCTATTAAGTATCGTTTCTTCTCTACGGCCTTTTGGAAAATTCTGTAATTTAAAAACGAGCAAATTGTGATGTAAAAAAATGTAAGTTACTGTGATGGTTATAGAAATTGTGTCGTTACAGAAAAAAACTGATGAAATGCTCAAAAAAAGGTGGTCATGTAAATACAAATTATATATAGCGTTTTACGCATTGATCAGAGTATCAATTAGCTTTATTAATTTGCTAAATATCTTCCTACTCAGATCCTGAAACAGCGTCCATAAACCTGCAAAGGCATCTATCCCTGATTGAACACTGGTGCAAGAAATGGCGTTTCAAAGATAATGAATCCAAATGTAAACATGGTTGACCGTCGATATAATATGAGAAGGAGTTAGTCGGGGGTGCGGTCAGATAAATACTAAATTAAAATATTATAATTATTTTATTTTAATTTCGCCGACGTTTCGACCCACTTTGCAGGTCGTCTTCAGGGCTACAAAAGATACAAAACATGTTGAGAATAAAAATTAAATATAAGTAGATATAAAATAAGAAGAAGTTGTCAGATACAGAAATAAAAGATGATATCAGAGATATAGTGGGTGACAATGTAGTAAAATATTAAGTATTATATATGTAGAAGATACAAATAAATGGAAAATAAGTATGAATAAAAAATTATTAAAAATAAAAATAAAGGAGATGCTATATTCTTCTTATTTTATATCTACTTATATTTAATTTTTATTCTCAACATGTTTTGTATCTTTTGTAGCCCTGAAGACGACCTGCAAAGTGGGTCGAAACGTCGGCAAAATTAAAATAAAATAATTACTATATTTTAATTTAGTATTTATCTGACCGCACCCTCGAATAACTCCTTCTCGTAAACATATAACCTTCACTCTTCGTCTTGATTACTGTCCACCAGTTTATTTTAACTCCATCCAGCCTCTCTTCTTTGACACAGTCCGGTATCTTATCCGCATACTAGACTTAAAAGGCAGGAACTTAACCTTACGGCCAGCTATATAGACTGCTAAATAGAAAATCTAAACTTTCTATTGAAAACGAATTACTGGTCTACAAGAAAATACTGAAACCCATCTGGACTTACGGACTAGAACTATGGGGGAAAGCAGCATTTTTTTAACTTAAACGCATTCAATCCTTCCTGTCTAAAGTCCTTTGAACAATAATCGATGCTCCCTTCTATGTTACCAATAATCCTGCACAGTGATCTTAATATACCATTTATTCTAGACAAATTTTCAAAATTTGATTAGAATCTTACTTATCTGGCACTAGTGTTGCCCAAATGCAAGACCGAGACGAGTTTTGGTCTTGCGTACTCGGTCTTGGTCATGGTCTTAGTCTTGTGCAAGAGTCTCGCAATTATTTATTAGCTTATTGCTATGAAGATATTACTGTAATTTTTTAGATAGGAGAAACCTAACGAAGACCGAATGAAAAATTAGAGGAGTTAAATGCAAAAGTGTATTGATTATACCAATTATTAACATATAGTAAGTTTGTCAAATATTAGTATCTATTTTGCTTTAATTTTTATTTAAAAAATCGAATTTTTTTACCAGTCCTGGTCTTGGTCTTGCAAAGTGCACACTTTATGCAACACTACCTGAGACGGAAATCTAACTGAAGCTCCACTTCACCGCATGTTTTAATTTTTTTGCTATTAACGGCGAATAATAATTTTGGACAACACTATCTGGCACCAACCATTCCTACAATCCTCCTCGCAGGTTTTAACGGCAGTGATCCCGCGACCTTTTGTAACATGTATACATTGAAGTTCTGTAAATGGTCAGATTCTCCACTCAAATCATGAGTGTCTGTGGCTTACTCAAGTTAAGTGCCCTTACTCAGCCTCCGCTGGGTTTTAATACCAGTGAAGTAGTTGGGGAAGAAGCTCAGAGATCTCACTGTTTTAGAGGTCTGTAAATAGTGTATATAACTATGCTAGTAAGTAAGAATAACTACCCGTACTACGAAGCATTCGTGTACGGGTGGAAGGAATTAGTGGCTGATGATCACTTAACCTCCACTAACGAAGTATCAACTACCAAAAATCTGTATTGCCGAGAGGCAAGGGGGATTTTTTTTTAAATCTTTTATTATAATATTTACAACTGTATTAGTATGAATACATCAAGTAAATTTGTACAGAGAAATATTATCACATGAAACACGCTTGTTGAGAAACTACCCATTGGTAGCACTCTAATAATTTGTCAACATGAGAAGATCACGAGGAAATCTTCTTTTCAGACGCCTTGGAGGGTTATCAGGAATCGAAGAGCAGGCAAGGTTAGAAAGAAGAGGATTCGGGTGGTTATGAAGTTTATTATGGAAGGATAGGTATCTGGATTTGGCCAAATCGGAAACATATGGAACATTGAGGTCTTTATGGATTATTTTATTAGTGACAAAGTAAGGAGCATTGAGGATTCTACGAAGGATTTTGGATTGTAAGGATTGGATGCGAGAGGAATTCGATGGTCTAGTGGAGCCCCATAGCTCAACTCCGTAAGTCCAAATAGGTCTTATTATAGTCAAGTATATGAGTCTTTTGTAATTAAGGGGAAGTTTAGAGCGTTTGTCTAGTAAGTGTTGGAGTAGTCGGAAACGTCGAGCGGTTTCTTGTCGTTTCAGTCTGGTATGAGGATAAGGGGAAAATAAAATAAAATAATAGTAAATAGGTATGCCTGCGTCTAAGATGTTTATGTTTATTTTTTTAATAACGTTTTATTTTGTATTTATTTTTATTATCACTTTCTTTCCTTATTATGATATTTAATTTGTTCTTATTTCTCTGTATATTATTTTGTTATTACCTTATTTATTCATGCTTCTGTAAACATGTTGTGAATGTGCTCTCTGAATCCTATTATAAGTGTCCTTAATTGGAACAGATTGTAATATTTATCAACAAACAAGAAATCTAAGATAAAAAAATTGGGTTGAAATAAATTTTAATTAATTAATAACGACGCTGCTAACCAGAGAACTAGAAGGAGCAAAGAAGAAAGTTGTAATTGGGAATATAATATTGAATGGCCTCCTGAAAACTGCAAAATAAGTTTGACAAAAAATTTCATTAATTGGCAAATTTAACGAGACGAAAAAAATAACACTTTTCCAAAAAATGAATCTTCGAAATCGCAACAAGTTCAAAAACGAAGTGATCTTTACATCAGTAGGTTACCTAGAACTCACCGAGCATTCGTGGATCAAACGATGTGCATATCAAGTTGAGTATGTTGTTAAGAACGAATCTTTCATAAACTAGTCCAAAATGGGCTTCATGTACCCCGTTACAGGGGCAGACAAAAGAGTAAATAACGCCGTGTGATCATAAACTCGCTTTCCAGTGAATTTTTGTTTACAAGATTTCATTTGAAGGATCGTTTCTCTACATTTTGGAAGCTGACTTTGTTTCTGTGATTATTAGCAAAGTTATGGGTATTACGAAAGTAAATTTGATTTATTTTACCTAACATATGTCTTGTTTTTCAAAGTAACTAAAAAGCAATAAGTTAGTGTTGTTTTTGGTTGCTTTTTTTTTTTTTGTGGACATATTGAACAAAATTAAAATTTAATATAAGTGAAATTACAAATACATAAAATAGACATTAACAACAATAATAAAAATAGTCAGATAAAACAGTCAAAGGTCAATTTTTTCACTATGGCAGATACCCAATAATTGGTCAAAAGTAAGATGTTGCTCTAGATGATACAACATGAATTAGAAATTTGACTATGCAGCACTTTATTATTAATTTTAAGGTAATTGCAAATTTATTTTAACAACAAAATTCAAACATGTAATGTAACAAGCACAATATTATAACTCAAAAAAATTTTAGCCTTGCAGAATAAATATCCCGAAACGTCTACTAACTTGTTAACATGTAACGTTGATAATAGAAATATACTCAATTGTCACCAATTGGAAGTTATTATGACCAAATAACTAAAAAAAAAAAGCAATAAGTTATAGCTCCAAAAGATTATTCGGTAGAAAGACGGTTAAAAAACTTACATCGTTGCCTTAGGTCTGCAAAAAACTTTGAACCGATAATATGCTTATAGAACAAAAATTACGCATTTTTTTGGTCTCCTGAAAATTGTTAGTTTTGTTCTTACATGCTTTTTCAGTATCGCTGTCGATGTGGTAATATTTTTTTTTTTTTTTTAATTATGCTTCACTAATTGTATGTGTATAGTAGACGATAAAATATTGATATACGAATCTCTGATGCCGGTTGTAAGTCGGGTGCCTTATGGATAAGGATAGTTATGAAATGTAACAGTTCTCGATAGGATATATTACTTAAATAGCAAGAATATAAGTGTCGTTGCAATTCAAGATGACGCGTGAAGAATATGATAGATCGTTGCAACGATTCCATCCATTAGACTAGTTCTGATTGACTGAAATAGACTTTTCTACTTGAGGAGTTTTATGAATCATAAATTTGATATTAATTGCTCATTGTCAAAGAATGATTCATGAAAACATAACCTCATAGACGTTATATCGAACAATGGATTCATAATGCGGCCTTAATCTAGTCAGTAATCCATCTGACGTATAAAAGAAATAAGCGATGGGAAGCCTTTTTATCATTTATTTGTATATACTCTATTTACTTTCACGTACCTATATATGAAATATATAGTAAGCGTAAGTATTGCGATCGTGAAAATATTCGAGTCTGAGTTTTCAACGGAAATACACGTTTAGAGGTACCCACCTTGCAAAAGGTGGTGAGCGAAGAGTTCAATTTTTTTCTCTTCCGAGACGACCCAGAATCCATCTTCTTTTCGGAGAGTTTCTGACAGCTCTCGATGTCGTAACAACTTTTTGGTATGCTTTCACAAACTCCCATCGTCAGTCGAAACACCACTTACGCATGCGCCATTGTTAGTCCTGCTAATTTTTTGGATTTCTCTTTTAAGTTGATTGTTTCGTGTCTTCGAAAAAAAACCTGCCCTCCAGTTTATACTGACAAAAATCAAATTCCTTAAACGGACACGGAACTTTACCTTGGACTTACCTTCGACAGAAGGATAACATAGGGCCCGCATGTTAAAATGAAACGTAAGACACTTAACAAATTACTCAAACTACTTTAATCTCTTTTTGCTAAATCTTCAAAACTAAAACTAAAACAGAAACTGAATACTTATACATACTTACTTAAACCCACATGGACGTACTTATCACAAATATACAGCATCGCTAAAAAGACCCACCTAGATAAAATTCAAACATTCTAATTAAAATGATTGCGACTCATGACAGAACCACCTTGGTACGTGACTAACAAAACTCTACATACTGACCTCCACTTTCCAACAGTTGACCAACATATAACGATCCTTTATAAACGATTTTATATAAAGTTGAACGGACATAACAGACTAATAAAAGATGGCCACAGCTGACATACCTCAGAACATGAGGAGGAAACTAAAAAGGCGTTGGATGAGAGATCTCCTTCCTTAGACAACCTAAGTAATTGGAACAAGTTAGGGAAGAGGTACTGCTGAGTATTTTCCTTCCCCATGCCTGTCATGTCCCGCCATCACATTTGCTGATTGTCAACAATAAGTTGACAGGCGAAAATACATTTTTATAGAAAAAAAAGAAGTTATTATTGTAGTGAGATTGTTGTAATGAAAATTGTTCAAAAAAAAGATTTGAGTACGATTTATTTGATAAACTAAAGCAGTATAAACCGGCTTAAGGTAGATCAGTGTAAAAAATGTCAATACCCTCTAATATTGCTGATCAAAAACTTTTTGCCATAGTCCAATTTTTCCACACAATAATTTCTGTTAAAAGTAGAGGAAATAGTGAAGATTGTGTGATGCGGGCAACAGATTTTCTTAATTTCACTTAGTTTTCTTTTTTCTCTCACAAACGAAATTGAATAGCTGTAAGTTCATTAATAGTTGTCCGAAATGAACAATGTTCATACAGTTTTGTGGGGAATTTCATTATCTTTAATCATAGGGGTTTTGAATCCGAATAGATCCGTCTAAAACCGCATATCAAAAATTTGACGCAATCGCAATACTTCGCTTACCTATTATAGGTAGAAAATTAATAAATTAAAACATATTCTGTATCATCGCTAATACTGCTTCGATTCCGATGATTTTTTTTTTAATTTTGTTGATAAATTAATTACCTTTCAAAATTTATATTATAACTTTTATCTAAGAATGTATACTTACTGAGTTAAGACCCAAAACATTTTTCTTTTCTTTTTAACTTTTTTTCCTGAATTTTCTCGGGAATTTAGTCTATGTACGAAAATTGAAAGGACAATTATTAGAACATTATAAGAAGATTTCATCAAAATCGTTAGAGCCGTTTTCGCGCTACAGTCTAGAGAAAAATATGTTTTCAATTATTCCGCTGCCGCTGTTGCGCAGGGAGCACCCAATTTGTGTCACAGGCATTAATATTCAAAACGCTACAAAATAAAAAAAAATCGGTTCGCTCCCGAGAAAATCTTGGCACCGACAGACATACAGCCAGATAGACCAATGGCTAAAAATGTCTTTACGGACTCAGGATGCTCTGAAGCGTATAGATCCGTAAAAAATCGCATATCGGAAATTTGACCCGATTGCAATACTTTCCTTACCGAGTATAGGTAGGAAAGTATAAAAAAAAAAAAAAAAAAAAAAAAAAAAAAAAAAAAAAAAAAAAGAAATTGGAATACTGTAAGAGTATTATTTTTTGTTACTATACAAATAATAATCTATTTGTATGTGGTTCTTTTCTCAAAACGGATACAGATTAAAATAAGAAATAAAAATAAATGATTTTATTTTTAAAATAAAGATTGTTTCTAAAAAAAAAAATCATTGAAATCTAACCATTTGCTGCAGAGACATGACATTTCTTTTGAACGTTCAAATTGGAAATTTCTATTTATCCTGGCTTGTAATGTAAAAAGAACTATTATTTTAAACATAAAAAATATTGAGCGCTCTCGCTCAAACTCCACCGGCTTTAGCCAGTTAGGCGGTTGAGAGAGTAGCGCAGGGATTTGGGTTCCCCGCCTGATTGTATATAAGTATGACTGTATTTTTATGTTTTTAATTTACTTATATTTAGGTTATTTTATTTTTTTATTGTATATCGTTTTTATTATTATTATTTAGTTATTATTTTACTTTTGGTAATTTTGTTCCTTTTTTGTATATACGGTATGAATGTGTTCATTTATCAATATAATTATTGTCCCTGTGACAGAATATTATATGTCTAAATAAATAAATAAATAAAAAATTGAATTTTTGGCATTCAAGCACTGTTAACGCTCATAAAGATTATAAGAACGTTGTAGAGACTAGGGGAATGAAAGAACGTTGTCATAAAGACTTGGAGAACGTTGACGAACGCCCTCACGATAGTTAGCTGCTACTAATACTTAGATAGTTGTTATTGCATTAATGTTATATTTAATTTACCTGAGTTATCGTCCTGGAACTTAGACAGATATGGGTCTGTATTCTCTTTGCCTTCCTTTAACGCCGTTAGCATCCGATTGTACACTTTCAAGTCCTCGAGGCTGCAAGTTGACAATTCGTTCTTTATAATGTTCCACAGAATTGCCTCTTCATCCATCACGGAGGTTTCCAAACTGGAATGTTCTTCTACTTCGGAGGAATCTTCAGCTTTTCTCAAAGAAACACGAGGACCCCTACCATTATCTTTATCATCATAGAAATGATACTCTTTACAGTAGTCGGGAGGCTTAGCATTTTTCGTTTTCTTGCACTGTGGATATAAAAGAAAGAAAGTTTCGTCTTTTGGTTGTTTATTTTTTTTGTTTTGCCTACCTGACTCGTTCTTAGAATTCTTTTTATTTCCGCGAGATGGCGTTGAAACTTTTCGATACTGATATCCTTTTCTCCAAGTTTTGAATTCACCACTCGTAGAAGAAGGTGTTGTAGATAGTTCTTCATCCTCGTTCCAGTAAGTTCGGAATCCGCTCTTCATCAGAGAAGAATCAGTTGGATGTGGTCCATACTGATCTTCCTTTTCCCAGAGATATAAATCACCATTTTTGGGAGGAGTGACGGTAGAAAGTTCTGAATTCTCATGCTTTTTTTTCCAGTAACCTTTGAATTCGCTCTTCTTCGACGTGGGAGCTGTTTGTTTCCAGTCTTCATATTCATTACTCTTAGGAGGAGAAATGGTGGAAAGTTCACGATAATGATTTGTATATGCATCGAATTCATCATCCTCGGAAGGAGAAGTTGTAAGAAGTTCTTGATCTTCGTAACTTTTCCTCCTGTGATCTCTGCTCTTCAACGGAGGATAAGTTGGATGTTGCGCATCCCGGTATTTGTTCGCCCTTACTTCAGAAGACAGCTCTAGCGGAGGGACTGTCCTGAGTCTTAGATTCTGATATCTTCTCCGCCTGTAGCTGAATTCTTTACTACTTAAAGGATTAGCGGTAGAATTTTCTTCATCCTGGTATTCTTCATTCCGGTAAGCTCTGAGTCCATTCATCGAAGGAGCGTCTGTGGGAGGAAGCCGATCCTCGTACCTTTTCGTCCAGTAGGTCTCATGTCGGCATTGACAGCTGTAGATGAGAAAAAAGACGTAGAAGATGGTTATGGAAGAATGCATCCTGACTGAATATCCTTCTTGTTGCAGAATCTGACATTGGAAAATATATTAATCCCTTTACGACTTGGAACAATAAGTAGTTTCAATTTTTAATGACTCGTGAAAACTCTTAAATCTTCCGATAAAGATAATCGTCAACGTTTCTCCAATATTATTTATATAATACGATTTATTATATAGCGTTCAAATAACCAATTACTCGTAAATACTATAGAAATATGCTGCATAAACTGATATAAAAATAAATTCATTATTACCCAACCAAGCGAAGCAATACTTTCAGGTTCACTAAAAGCTAATTAACACTTTTTTGAGCCAACTGCTGGGATGATTTTTAAGTTTGATATCTTGAATTATTTGGTGCGATCCCCTGAGTGTTTGGAAACGATTTGACCTATAAATACTGATCCGTTATTAAATAAGATGTGATTAATCAATTTGCTAAAAGCTATAGTAACGTTTTTGAGGGAACAGTTGGAGCGATTTTTAAGTTTGATATCTTAAATTACTTGGTAAGACCCTCTGAGTGTTTTGGAAGTGAAGCTACTCGATGGATATGTGTTTGCAGTATCCGCTAAAGGTTATTTAACAATTTTTTGTACGAATGGCTGGATCAATTTTTATGTTTATTGGTTCAAAATATTCATTGTGATATCTTGAGTGTTTTAAAATGATTTTAGCTAAAAACACTGATCCATGATTGAATAAAACGTTTTTAATTAGTTTGCTAAAAGATAAGTAACGATTTTTTGAGATAATGGCTTGACCAATTTTTATCTTTTAACTTCACGGCCATGATTACTCAGCGAAATCCCGTGAATGTTTGTAAATAAATTTAATAATAAATTTGAGTACATTGAAAAAAAATTATTATAGTGTTATTAGCTCGATAATTAATTTATTTGCTACTTTTCTGTTAGCTGGACAGGACCGACTGCTATCTGCCAATGGTTATAACCTCAACACTGATAATTCTGGCAAGGCACTGATAATTTCTATCTTCGTATTCATATTTATTGTATTATATTTATATTATTGAAATTGTAAACTAAAACAAATGTAATAATAAAAAAATACTTTGGTTTGAATTTGAAATAGACAAACAGAAATTTAATAATTCCCACAACAATAATAAAACACTTTAATTTTACAACCCTTCCCCATGCCTGTCATGTCATTATATCATTATCGTCATCAGATTTGCTGATTGTCAACTTATTGTTGACAGGCGTGAATATATATTTTATATACAACAAAAAAAAAAAAATTACAACGCATATATGAAATAGACAAAAATAAATGTGATATAAAAAAAATGAAATAATAAAAAAAACCTTAAACAACATATGTACATATAATAACATATGTACATACATTTTTAAAGTATTACGAAAGCATCTCCATTTCACCTTCCTGCCTAACTTCATTTGATGATTTTCTTCACACAATTTCACGTTTGGAATTATCCCAGCGTTTTGAAAATATTCAATAGCCTCTTGTTCTGTAGACGTTAATTCACAGAATGTAATAACATCCATAATTTGACGAAAAGAACACAAATGGAACAAAAGTAACCAATGGAAGAACTCAAATCTTTCACGAGATAAGAAGGGAGGTTATGTGATGTAACATTAGATAACTGGGAGGTTTCGTCCAGGCCTCCTATCAGACAAGTACCATTTATTTTAAATAGCATGTCGTCGACAATATGATTAAGGAAGGATTGTGCAACGTTGGACAGATTAATATTCGTTACAACATGGTTCCGGCAATATGTTACGACAGTAAATAGTTAATACTTTAAAAACTAAAAATATTAAAATAATTTGATTAAATAAAAATATTTTAATTTAAAAACAATAAGGTCTGTGCTTTATTAAAATTCCGACAAAACAAATAACTCTATCCATGTCAAGAAGCTAATAATTATGTATGTCTACAGGAAAATATTATCGTGTTGTTAGTCAGTTTCTGTGAATATTTAAACATGGTGAAATAGCATGGAATCTTATGTTTCCTTAACATACAGAAGTTAAAATTAATTATTATTATAATTAATAATAAGCGCTCGTATTCCTTTGGTTCCTCAATTACAACTATTCTCCGTTACGATCTCTTATTTCTCCTTTAGTTAATTATAAAATTCTTTCATATTTTATATTTTACCCTTTTTTATTTTAGAAATTGTTGTGAAACGGTCAATTGTTTAAAAAAAAATAAATAAATAAAGGTACTTGAGAGGAAGCTAATATTGAAAATGAGGCATTTAAGCCTTGTTGAACAACATAAATCACCAACCACATTTTATTTAAAACTGCTTAATTTATCTTATGATGTATTTAATCAATACTGATATGATGAATTTAATCAAAATCGTTAGAGCGTTTTTCGACATAATCATAAAAATGTGCTTAGTCCATTATATAAAGTTACACTTCCGGTTAGCCGATTTTTATGAAAAAGTTGCTGTAACATCCCTAGCATATAAAAATTTAAATTTGCAATTTCACTTCCATACGACTTTTCTTCTTTGAGCTAGACTGTTAACACACACACACACACACACGCACACAGAGACCATTTTGCGGGACTTGGTTTGTTTGTTTGGATGTCTAGGCGGAAAAACATCCAGGTCAACAGCGCCTGATCAACTGAATAACACTAATTTTATACTGTTTGGATGGTTAGTCCAAAAAATAAGAATAAAAAAAAAAGGACTTGGTTATTTGCGGGACTTGGTTATTTGGACTCTGGGGACCTCAAAACGTGTATTTCAGTTGAAAACTCAGATTCAAACATGTTTTTCACGATGGCAATACTTACCCTTACTATAAATTACATATATAGGTAAGGGAAAGTAAAAAATAAAGCAATCTGAACTACAGAATGCATGTAAATTATAGTTATACAATTTGAGCGAAGAATAGTACAATCAAATGAACAGTTGTATAATTTGTAAAATGGGGGTTGGTCCGCCGTTATGCGAACAGGGAGGGGGTTACCCCCTTGTATTAATTAATAATAATGAAAGGTCTTCCGATAGTATTGTAATATTGAGAGTTAACCTAATATAGACAAACAGAGACTAAATAAGGAGCAAACTGAGGGTGTTTTTGTGGGAACAATTAATTAGTATAAAATTAATTATTGTAATGTAAGAGTGTTTTAAGTTTCGTTGTGCGGAAGGCACCGAATATATATTCATTGACACTAACTAACCCACTCATGCTGTTATGTATATTTATATATATATATATATATATATATATATATATTATATATATATATATATATATATACAGTGTTTTTAGCTCAAATCATTTTAAAATACTTACGATATATCAATGCATATTTTGAACCATCAAACATTAAAATTGATCAAGCCATTTGTACAAAAAACTGTTACGTAACTTTTAGCGGATACTGCAAACACATAACCATCGAATTGCTTCACTTCCAAAACACTCAGAGGGTCTTACCAAGTAATTTAAGATATGAAACTTAAACATATATATATATATATATATATATATGTAACTTAAACATATATATATATATATATATATATATATATATATATATATATATATATATATGTGTGTGTGTTGTTATGTATATTTATATGTATATTGTGATGTATATTTATATACATAACAACATATACTTTTACGACGGGTGCAGATATTTGGATAGTTTTTTTTTTTTTAATAATTACATGTATTTTAGTTAACAATTGATTGAGGTTTTAAAAGACCACATATATAATAAAATGCATTGGTTTTCATTAGCCACTTTCAAATAACACTAAATCTTTTTTAGAAAATGCTATATATATTCTCGCGTGGACTCATGCGTTTAATTTAAATGCGTTCAGGGGTGACCAGAAAGGGGCTTGCTATGGAGCACAAATCTGGGATGGGGTAAGTTATGAAACCGTGGAAAGACTACTAAGATTCTTTCTTAAAAAATTAGGGACTTACTTAATCTGATAGAATTGCATGGATTAAATTTCAACTTAAATCGATCTAACTATAATGATTCTAAACTATGGAGAGCTAATTTATATTTACTAAGAACTCAAATTCAGAAAGACATATACAATCAATATGTAATTAAAGTTCAGTATTCTAAAACTTTCACTTTTTATCCTCGTTTAACTTCAATAAATTATATTTATGAGGAAAGCTCATTGAAATAGATCAGATGGGTAACTAAAATTACAGCTGATGTTTTGAACTTAAATTATAAACACTTGAAGCAAACAAATAATAATTGTAGCATGTGTAATAAAATCGAAACAGAAGATCTCTATCACTTCCTGGCTGCTTGTCCAATACTCTCTGAATTTAGAATTAAATGGTTAAAATCTAGAAATTTATCTCGAGATCAAGTAATAGATCTAATAAATGGAAAGAATTCGGTAGCATTGGTAAATTACTGCAAGTCTGCTTTCTCCTATAGAATAATGCTCACCAGAGAATTTAACAATTAATAAATTGAAGAATGTTGGTACCACTGGTCCAAGCTCTACAAAGAGGATCCCCACCTCATGCTGATGATTCCCCTCCCCCAATAATTTCTAAATAACGAGGCGGCTGTGTGTCTGTCACAATATTCTGCTGATTAGAACTTCCTGTAGTGTTAATGGACTTCCTGTTCACACATCGTTGATCAACTATTTTTAATTTATCTTGCCTACTTCCACTTAATTTAATTTTATATCGAAATTCGTAACTAACATATTTAATATATTTTATATTTTAATATATTCCTTATATGAAAAATAAATGTCCCCTTAAAAGGGAAATACTGCAGTGGACTAAATTCCCAGCGGCCACTCGGAATTGGAACTGAATATTGATATGCCCAGGGGGTGGGGGGAGTTACAATTAGAATTTATGATTCGTTTTCAATCCGGATCTGAGCTCCAAATATTTCTAGTAAACATTTCACATTTTTTTTGCGTCCAATCGATCCGTTTAATTATTATTGATACATTTTAATTCATGATAAAACATGAAAATGGG